TGCGTGAGCGGAATCCGGATTGCTCAGGTACAGCCGTTGGTGCGCACCACTATCTCATGTGCTTGCCTTCAGCGTCTTGTGCAAACTAGTTGGAGCTCCACATCGAGTGGCCGATTCAGGATGCGTGAGCGGAATGCGGATTGCTCAGGTACAGCCGTTGGTGCGCACCACTATCTCATGTGCTTGCCTTCAGCGTCTTGTGCAAACTAGTTGGAGCTTCACATCGAGTGGCCGATTCAAGATGCGTGAGCGGAATCCGGATTGCTCAGGTACAGCCGTTGGTGCGCACCACTATCTCATGTGCTTGCCTTCAGCGTCTTGTGCAAACTAGGTGGAGCTTCACATCGGATGCCCGATTTCGTTGACGTAGGATGGATGAAGAGGAAGTGAGGTTAATGTATACCCGATGCAGGATTCGAACCTTCGACCATCTGCTTCGTAGGCAGACATTCTATCCAGCTAAACTAATCGGGCGATGAAGCTAGTCACTTTGATTGATATTAAAGTTAAATACTCTTCCGAAATGGTTTAGGCGGTAATTGGTCAATCCGTCAGGATACGTGAGCGGAATTCGGATTGCTCAGGTACAGCCGTTGGTGCGCACCACTATCTCATGTGCTTGCCTTCAGCGTCTTGTGCAAACTAGTTGGAGCTTCACATCGAGTGGCCGATTTCGTTGACGTAGGATGGATGAAGAGGAAGTGAGGTTAATGTATACCCGATGCAGGATTCGAACCTACGACCATCTGCTCCGTAGGCAGACATTCTATCCAGCTGAACTAATCGGGCGATGAAGCTAGTCACTTTGATTGATATTAAAGTTGAATACTCTTCCGAAATGGTTTAGGCGGTAATTTGTCAATCCGTCAGGATACGTGAGCGGAATTCGGATTGCTCAGTACAGCCGTTGGTGCGCACCACTATCTCATGTGCTTGCCTTCAGCGTCTTGTGCAAACTAGTTGGAGCTTCACATCGAGTGGCCGATTCAGATGCGTGAGCGGAATCCGGATTGTTCACGTACAGCCGTTGGTGCGCACCACTATCTCATGTGCTTGCCTTCAGCGTCTTGTGCAAACTAGTTGGAGCT